TTCAAATTAATGACGTAATGTAGTTTTATATAATGCTTACCTACAAGTTTTTATGAAAACAGTTCACAATTAGTTTTTAAATTCGTTCACCAACTATTTTAAGGTTTTTGGTTTCAACGATCTGGCTAACTGACTTTTAGACATTTATTCTAACGACCTACCTACTAGCCGGTCAATTACCTGTCTGATTTAACCACTTCCCCGCTATACCCAGAACATTATATTTTGCTATAACTAACATTGTATTTGTCCATTCTTACAGTGAGCCTGTGTGCCTTTTATATTGCGCTTATACGGCCTCGGCTCTGTCACGGAGGGCCTGATCAATATAGTACGATCATACGCGAACGATTCAGATGTAGAGAACGGAAAATACGTAGAAATGGAAAATATTCAGGGGCGCGCGGGCGTAAGGGTTATGGAATCCTTGGGGGAGGCCTTTGTCTAGCAGTGGACGTCATTTGGCTGAAACGAACGAAGGCTTAAAATCAATTTGATTGATAGTGAATTTATATGACAGGTATTTAGATTATTTAATGCCTATGGCTAACTATACCTATGTGCCTACATTACACATGAATAATGGTGACTAAAATTTTGAAGCTGCTTCTTTTTAGTAAGTACCTCCCACTGACTGTCCTTAGGCAACAAAGATAATGTCAATTATTAAAATTAGTTGAGATGTAAGATTCTAAACTTACGCGTTCCGTTTCATCTAGAAATAGAGAAACACGGGTCTCGGGTCTCTTCGCGTTGAGACCCGTATTTCTTTATTTTAATTGGGATGTATTCATGTGTAAATATAATATATCAGCCCTTCTAAAATACTTTCGACAGTCATTATTTTCCTTTTCGTTTGCAGTTTTCCTAAATGAAACCCAATGGGACGAATTTTGAAAATTTTGAATCACAGAAATTGGGAAACGGCTGGGAAATTGTTGATTGATCTACGTTTTTCGTTCACCGTACACGACCGATACAAAGGGCAATAAATACGTACTTTATTGTTGTGCGTGCGTGCGGTAGCCTGGAGCTGAAAGAATATGACGGCTCGAAAACAAATGAAACATTTTTAATATAAATAAATAAATATGTAGGTACTTTGTTGTGACTAAGGAGGAACTGGCCATCTTACCTCTAACTTCTGAAACACAACACAACATTTTTAATATGGCAAGAGACATAGGACGATGGTGGAAGCTAAGCTAGGTAGATTGAGAACAAGCCCTAACCAAAAAAACAGGAAATTTTGCCCGACTGTAATCGAACCCGGCACCTCTAGGCCTGAGACCCCACTAGACTACAGCGAGAATAATAACTTATTACTAAAAAGTACCTACACAAAAAGCACGAAATTGTTTCATGAAGCGCTCCACAGTGACTTAAAATTCATGAAACCGTATTCGAGAAATCAAGCGTCGCGATTTTCAAACGTTTTTGGCCCACCCTGTATATCTATACATAAAGTAGGTACGCTGGCACACTTGTATAGTATTCAAATAGAATGCGTTATATTCTAATAACCACAATACTCGTGCTTACTTGCCAAATGCAAGTACAAATACCAGAGACAATTTCAAGCTACTATGTTTTATGTTAAACATGCATTTAGATATTTGGCATAGTATCCACTGCTGAGTCGAATGCTACGACTAATATTGTCTTAAAATGGTTCTTTACGTTTGTCTGCTTTAATAAGCTTAGAAACAAAGCCTATCAGTAATGTGATATCATGATAATATAATTATCTTTGTTTTTCAACTGTCATTTAATCTGCCTACTTCTTGCGACTTATTTTCTTCTGATTAATTTCGTTGTGGATCCTATGACAGTTTAGCTTTCCCCTGGGATTGAGTTAGCCTTCACTGGTTGGTTTTATTAGAGGACACATGATACCAGGAGTATCAGCATTATTTGAACAAAAGCTAATGGAGCGTTAAATAATTGCAGGAAAATTAACATTGCAGGGAGTTTCAGCCGTGTCGGAACGTGGAGTGGGAATAGTCTTGTAAGTTTTAGAAAGTTTGAATAAATTATGTTGTTTTATTTATTATACCCACCAACAATCCCCAGTGCCTTTGCTCTAGATACAATTTCAAAGATATTTAGAGACGGAATTTGATATTAAAAAGGTAAAATTATTCGTGAATAATTTAAGCTAAGTAATTTTATCTTTTTAATATTTAATTATGGATTTCTGCAAAGTAACGCCTGATACTGTTAATTATAGAGACGGAATGTCTTTAAACTTTTTTTAAGCTTACTCTACTCACCTTAAAATTACCGTTACTTATACCTACTACTTACTATCATCAGTGTCACGTAACATCAAGAAAGTCCATTCTGGAAACATCCAGAACATCCCAAACTATCTGTACAAATCCTGGTATAAATACAGTGCAGTGCAGAACTCTCGGATCGCGGATATTTCGGGTTCGATAGACAGCCGACAGCCTGGCGCCAGGGTACACTCACGATCGTGTATACGTGTATAAGTGTACATTTTCCTATTTAGGGAACTACGGAAATAACTTTTAGGAAATAGCACTGTTTGTAAGAGTAGCTACAAATTTTATAGTAGTATAACAATATCCTATTATGAATTTAAGCGGTCAGTGTTACTACGGTACCTGTGCTACGACGAATGTATCTACACTCATACGAGAGAAAAGCCTATTTATTATCTTGATATTGAATTCAACCAACCACAAACTTGAATAATAAAATAAAATAATAAATAATACTTAAAAAAATTACATAAATCACTGATTAAGTAAACGTATGGAAAACCAACTACAAAAAACTATAATTTGGTTAAAAACATACAAGTTTGATAATAAACACATAGTAGGTGCATACAAAAAGGGGTATTTTTCTTACCCAAAACTAACTTTTGGTCTCTTTCAAGCTTATTTTTTCAGTGTGCTTTAATAAGTAACCTAGTATCTACTTGGAGCACCTCTACAGACGTTTAAACATAAGAATGAAGTTTTCCAAATCAAGGAATGGCTCAAATCGATGCTGTTTTGAGTCTGAAAACCGGAGAATGAAAANAAAAAACTTTAATTTGGTTAAAAACATACAAGTTTGATAATAAACTTACATAGGTGCATACAAAGAGGGGTATTTTTCTTTCCCAAAACTAATTTTTGGTCTCTTTCAAGCTTCTTTTTTCAGAGTGCTTTAAATATCTAAAAAACTCTAACACCTCTACGGAATAATAAGATTGAACGCAAGAATTAAGTTTTCCAAATCAAGGAAAGACTCATTCGATGCTGTTTTGAACCTGAACACCGGAGAATGCAATACAATACAGCAAGAAACGTCATCCCCTCCAAAAATGTGGCTGAATCGAACTGTACCGCGTTTTTCCGGAACGCCTGTTCATCGGCATTTTATTGCATTCGCACTGGCAGGCGGTCGCCCCTAAATAAAACAAAGTTCGCCACCCACTGCAGTGAGGGTTGGATTGGAGTCTCGTCACGTCAACGGTTGGATGCGCCATTTTATAGTAAAATAGAGTTCATCTATAATATAAAAATAAATCGCAAAATGTGTTGGTAAGCGCATAACCCAACAACGCCCGGACCAATTTTACCAATTCATTTTTTAAATGTTCGTTGAAGTCCAAGGAAAACCCTAAAAACAGCCTTTTTTCACGCGGGCGAAGCTGCGGGTGGAAAGCTTGTTTCATAAATTATTCACTTGTCTTGGAAAAACTAGTTACTTGTAGATAGGATAGTCCTTTAGGACACAAAAGTAAAAAGTCAAAGTCAAGTGACTTCTACAAAAAGCACTACTAGAGAAATGTTAATATTTATCTTCAACCACTCTACTTATCTGCTCTCCTGATGTACTTAGGTCTTAAAACCCATTATTACAGGTCCTGTGTTCGCACCTTGCAGACGCGATGGAATTTTATAAATACTGAGATACTCTGATGTTGTTCGATCGAAATCTCAAAGAGAAGTCAATTTACACAGTGTACTCAATAATATAAAGTAGTTACTTATTAACTGACAAAAGTTTTATGGCAATTACACAGCAGAGGTAAATTTTGCTATTAGAATAAAGTAGGGCCGCATCAGATCCCCCTCGCAGATTGGTTTAGGCTTTTAATGTGCAAGATATTTGTAGGAATAAAGGTAAAAATCTAAAAATTTAATTATAACTATGGGATCATGATTTCACGAGGAGATTTCTGGAGGAAATTAAAGAACTATCTGGAAATTATCAAAGAAAATATTTTAACATAATTCAAACCACGACATACGCCTATTATAGGGCCTACATTGTTACGAATTCGCATACGAATGCCACCGTAAACGGGCGATGGGCTCACGCATTGCCGATTTATACCCAACACGATAAGGTGTTTTATGTAGTCGCTCGAGAAATGTAATTTTTGTTACGTCCCGCCCATTTTAAGCACGCCAATAAATTTCTCATATACTTTTATGGCGCTATAAAGCTTTGCGAACGCTTGCTTACAATATACATACTTTAATATGGACGCGATATTTGCGGAACTGATTAAGTTGAAGATTAAAAGATTAAAAGGCAACTTTCTACAAAACGTAGATACCAGAATAAAGTAATCTTGAGTTCCTGATTTCCTCTCTTTGATTATACCTTAGTCGGGTACTCGGGTAATAAGCACAACAGTATCAATATTAAATAGATGTTGACCTTAAGACGCGATTAAAATATATTCCGTTAAACTTAATAAGCTATTTATTAGAATAATAAATTTACAAAAGTTATGTAGATCTTTACAAAATAAAACAACATTAATCGTAAATCTGTAATAGCGCCATCTATACAACGTATGGTGAAAAGCGTACTTCAACCAAACGGTACAGTCAATGCTTTTACCGACATCTATTATTGCCAAGAGCAAACATTGAAATTAAACTTGAAAGCTTATTGTCTATGGCAAAAAAGTAACGCGTATCCAAACGCGCTCAACGCTGTCATTTTTTTCTGAATGTTGGCAACGATATTTCAATTTCAAACGGTTTTCGATCGTGTAGTGTTTCATGGCGTTTGTAAAATAAATAAATTTGCGGAGTTTCTTGTGTAATAATGTCAATTTTCAATGAATTGTTGCCTAAACTCAGTGAAATATCGAACACTATTACTAAAAACTTCAACGATGACTTAAAGGTAAAGAAATGTTTGTAAAAACGCGAGTGCAATACAACGTATTTCTTTTCGGTTATTTCCTTCGCTTTTGTGGTGCTTCCGTGTGATATATTAGTGTTTTAGTGCTTTTTGGAGTGTGAACAGCGATGTTTCAATAGAAAATTGTGTATTACAGGCAGCGTTTGAGTGTTTTGACAAATTGGAAGAGGAGTATCAGAATGGCAGGGCCAGAGCGCGGGAGAAAGCCCCAAAGGATAAAAACCCTATGACGACCCTCCAAAGCATCAACGAGGACGATGGTAAGCAGATAATGTCCATTTCATATTATGTTTACATCTTACATCAATTTAAAAAGTTAATGTTACATCACACTACTCGGTTATTATCAGTGCTCCATAAATTATTGATAACTCTCAATTATATCAGTAAAATGTAAGGTTTCCACTCAATTTCTATTACCTTTTAATTTGTAGAATACTGATAATTAATTCATGTTACAAATGCATCAAGTAGGCCAAACTTATTCAGATTACACCTGTTGCAGTACTATGTTAGTTTCTCTACCATACTTGCCTCTTTGTATAAAATCCAGGCTTCTATGGATTGAAATTGGGTTCTAATGCCCATTTTCACCATCAATCCCTAATTTTAAGTGACCCCTATGAAAACTAAAGTTCCTGTTATGTGTTACTTAAAAATTAGGGATTGATGGTGAAAATGGGCATAATTCTTGTAAATGCAATTTTTCTACACACAGATGAACCCAATAAACTATCAGATGCAGAACCAAAGCGTAAATCCAGCAAGTCTACCAACAATACAGACAACCGAAGCTCTGTTGAGAGCAATAGTGAGAAGCCACGAAGAGGCTCTAAGAAACGCAGTAAAAATGAAGTCGACGGGCTATCGAGCCCCGAACAAGATAAACGACTCAAGAGGAATGCGTCAATCAAAGCCCAGAGCATTATTAGTAAACAGGCAAGTAATTTATTAAATTCAAATTCATATTTATTTGCACAATTCTATTATGAAAATAAAATTATGATTGAAAGATATTTACGATTATGTAATGAGAATCATTGTAATTCAACTTCTATTGTATAGGATTTGGAGGGGGTGAGTGCAAAGGTAGAAGTTTTGTTTTTAACCAACTTAAAAAAGGAGGAGAATTCTCTCTCAATGCTCTCTCAATTCAACTGAATGTTTTTTGAAAGAAAGGGAAAGAAAGAAAGAAGAAATTTTGGTGCACACTGTAGCTATAATCATTTTATATTCGTTAATGTCTTATTTTATATCTTTGTATTAATGAGGAAATTGATATTGAAAAATAAAGCAAATACTGACCTTAAATAAAGTTATGGTGTTGTTTTAAATGTTATTATTTCACTAAAACCCATAATTTTAACCATTGTATTAAAATATTGCATTATTATGTATGCAGGTGAATGTAAATTTGACCCAAAAAATGAGGCGTGAAGAGTCATCCGAGAAGATAAAACGGAATAACAAAAAGAAAGATGATGATAAGGAGAATACGGAACCAGCACAGATCATACAAAGTAAGTGAACGTACATTTTGTAAAAATAATACAAGTATAGTATTTATACTGTACTGTTTATAAAGAAAGTTTAATTTTTTAATTTTCTTTATTAGAAAATAGAAAAACATACAGCTTTATTATAACACAGGTAGCGTACAACAAATTAAGTCTTACACAAGACTGGAGCTTTCACTGTTCATTTAAAATAGGCTAGTTTCCTAAAAAAATTTTTTTAGTCCTTCAATTTTAATAGAAAAAAATATTGCACACATATTTTGAATTGTCAGTCAACAAAAAGTGCTGCACTTTTACGCACTCACTGACGTCACGGGCCTTTTCCTTAGAACTTTGGCATGCTATATCTCTTTACATTTTCATTAGTTTTAAAAAGTGAAAAATATGTGTCGAGTAGTTTTTGATTGGCTAACTGACGGACTAATTAAAACTCTTGCTTTTTTACCCAGGAAACATCCCTATTGAAAAGACAGTTAACACAATTTTTAAGAGCCATTTTACATTTTCGTGCAAATTTCTAAGATTTTGGAAGCATGAATTACTATCTTAAGCAACACCCAGATATTATTGAATAACTGCGAAAGATAGGTCAATCCTTAGTGTTGACCATTAATGAAACGGATTTACTAAAACTCTTTTGCTTAATTCTCAGTGCCCCATCTCCCACAACCATTTTACGA